ATTTATTTATTTATTTATTTTTCTTTTTGAGACAGGGTCTTGCTGTGCAGTTCAGGCTGGCCTTGAACTCACTTTGCAGCCCAGGCTGGCCTCAAACTCCCAACCATCCTCCTGCCTCAGCCTCCCATTGCTGGAATTACAGGCGTGTGCCACCACGCCTGGCTGACAGTAGCTCTTTAAATGTCCTGGAAGTTGCTTTAGCTGGAGGAACGGGTCTTGTAACGCTTGGAAGGTCCAACAACGAAAGTTACTGTTTCGTTGTCCTCACTCATTTGATCAGAAACAGCGATCAGAATCAGAGCTCAGGTCTCAATATTCAGGACAGTGTTCTTTCTGTGCTCCCTTGGTTCTCATAAGTTGTGTGCAGGTTTCTCCAAGTATACACACACACCTGCAGGGCTAGCCACTACTGTATTTCAAGCTGAACTGGAACAAAATTAGCTTCAATTTCCTGTCCAATGATCCCTTGGAAATTTCAAGCCTACAGTAGACCCCAGAGTTCCAAAGCAGTTACAGCAGACAGATTCTGCCAGCAACTGTCTCAGTGGGAAGACAGATTCCTGATGCTTCCTACTCTGTTACCTTTCCAGAATCTTCTTCCCTGTCTCCAAAAAATGAAGAAAATGCTTTTCTTATGACGTACAATGAATTAATAAACCATAAAAATAGTATGCAACATTCGTCAGGTGCTTACTATATTCCAGGCTGTCTGACACATTCTACATAGATTAATTCATTTAATCTTTACAACAACCTTTGAGGTAGGAGCTATTATTTTCTTCATTTTACAGATAAGAAGAGTAAGACAGAGAGAGACTGGTGTAAGAACATGCCCATTCTGAGGCTGGGATTCAAACATCAGGGATTTGGCTCCAAAGAATGTACCTTACCTTAATGAATGAATCAATGATTGAATCATCGTGTTCTTAATAGAGGTGTCGTCAGTATACCAAGACACCAGAAAGGAAGGAGAGCCCAAGGGGGTCTTCCTGGAAGAGGTGATACCTGAGTTAAAGTTGAAATAAGTAAGAGCTAAGGTGGGGCAAGGACATTTCTGAAGAGGCAAAGACCTTGAACTGCCAGCATCTGTAGGGATCCTTAACAGCTGGGGATGCACAGCCTCAGAAGGAGGCAGGAAGCAGGACTGCAGAACAGGTTGTACTGAGCCGTAAACCAAGTGCTTCCAGACTCAGCTGAAGAGGAACTGTGGGAAATGGAAATGTCTTTGCGAAGGAGGTGGTAGGTTTGGAAAGCAGTGGGGACTGCAGCTGGTAGAATGGGCTGAGAAAAGCATTCCAGGCAGAGGAAAAAGCTTGGGGGTGGGGGAGTGGGAGAGAAATATTTAGGGACGCATTCAACTTGGCAGGAAGGGAGGAGTGCTTGTCTTATAGGGACTGCTGAGACACCAGCAAAGCCTGCGCATAGAACCAACCCTGCAGCAGAATGGCTGGAGTTATCTCACTGAGCCAGTTTCAAGTTCCAGCTGTGCAGCCATGGATGAGTCATACCAAATCTCAGTTTCCACATCTGTAAAATGGAGGTAATAATCAACTACCTAAGAACTTTGCTCAGAGGTTTAAAGATAAAGTGTGTGGAAGGACTTTTTGGATCCTAAGACATTCTTCCATGTCTCTCAGTCCTCATACTAACCAAGGAACTTTAGGACAAAGGACACGCCACCTGCCAGCCCGGACTAACAGAACCAGAAATAAGTGGGAGACATATTGTTTTCCCTCCAGCTCTTGCTTTCTACTCTGTGGTCCGGAGGCTCTGTTAACTTTAGACCTGCTACCTTCTGACAGCTGGAAAGAAAAGCAGCAGGAAAAAATAGATCCCCTGGAGGCTTGTGGAGATATGCTGGATTTTAGAGAGGTTTTTTCAAAATATGGGAAATGAGCAAAGCAACCAAAGAGACTAGTGATGCCTTCTGACCACCACGGCAGAGTTCTTCAGGAAGAGAGATCCTCAAGTAATCATCCTAAGCCACAGGAAGCTGGCCAGTTAAGCCAGTTGAAAGCACATAGCACTCTACAGCTTACAACATATTTGCATCTGCCTTAACTCAATTGATCTTCCCACTATGTCTGTGAGATAGGGCTTCTTACTTATTCCCATTGTGCATGTCAGAAGACTAAGGCACTAGGGAGGAAGTGATTGCCCAAGGTCCACGGCTAGCCAGAGAAAGTGTGACAGTTTGCACTTAGATTTCCTGAACTTTCTACCACACCACGCTCTGCCCTTTGTGGAGCCGGCAAGGTTGTAGAAAGAGCAATGGAGTCCTAACTGTCCTAGCTCTTTAGAAAATATACTGCGTGTCTTATTTTCTCATTGGTGAGGCACAATACCCGACACGCACAACTCTAAGCAGGACAGGTTTATTTTGGCTCACAGTTTGTGGAGGTTTCATTCCATAGTCTGCTGGTTCCAAGGCAGGGCAGGGTGGCAGAGGGGCACGGCAAAGAACTGCTCATGGCAGGGAGCAGAGAGAGCGATGGGTGGAGGACGGAAGGAGATAGACTCTTCCAGGTCACGCCCCCAGTGACCAACTCTTCTGACCAGGCTTTGCCTCCCAAATCACATTTAGTTCTAAACTCACCAGTAGACAAATCTACTGATAGCATCACACCTCCATGACCCAATCACTTCCCCAAAGCCTCACCTATGAGTGCATGAGGCTTAGAGGGGACATTCAGATACAAAACCATAACACTGTGTAACTCTGGGTTGCCCTCTTGTCCTTTTTAGGATTCTCGACTATCAATCTAAGGGGGTTCTTGTTGGGATTACATGTCAGAATGATTTTAAAAGCACCCAGCACATTCTCTGGCATGTTACAGTGGCCAGGATGACTTCAAGAAGAGTGAAGGGAATGGTAAACAAAACAAAACAAAACAAAACAACAAAAACCACTGCTTAAATACAAAGTGAATGGCAACACACTGTAATAGCAAGCGGGACTGACTTTGGCAGAGGGCTTCCAGGAGGAAGGGGACACAAACTCCAGGAATTTGAGGGCACCACTCTTCCTCCTCCTTATTTCCATATGGCGGAGCTTTGGAGCAGCAGAGGGGATGGTCAGAGGTAGAGGTCAGGGAAGCATATCACATAGGCCTCGACCACCACACAAAGGAGTTTGGCTTTTGCCAGTGAAGGATTAAGCAGGCAGCAAAGAGACAGTCAACCAGAGGCACAGTGATGTAGGAGGGAAAGCTGCTGAGATTCTCCAGCTGAAGGCCCTGGAGGCCACCTCCCAGAAAAAGGTCACAGGCAGGAGTGAATGTGGAAGCCCAGAAACTGCCTCTAGCTCCCAGCAAGGTGTGAAGAATTGTTTATCGCATTAATATGAAGTGAGAGGCCCTTCAGGGGGCCAGCTGGGATATTTTCCTTTCACTCCAAGCAAGAAAGGAGGACAGTCCTTAGGCCAAGGCAAGAGGCAGGGGACTCCTTCAAAAGACTCCCTCAAACATAGCAGAAGATGGACAAGCCATTCAGCTCCCCTGTCCCTCCCCTCCCCAGCCCGGCTTCCACCCCATACCTGATGGGAGATATGTTAGTAACCACAGCCACACAAGGTGCCTCTTCCTCTGGGCTAGAATGCTTTTCCTAAGTTACCTTGTTTATTCCTCAGTTGTACAAACTGTTTCAGAGAGGTTAGGTAACTTGCCTAAGCTTACTCGGACCTGTAAATACTGTACAGGGCTGGAACCTGGGCCTGTCTCAGCTTGACCCTGCTCAGATGCTGGTTTAGGCCTCTTTCTCTTCCGGGCAGGGAGCCTCAGGGAGTGGAGCAGGGGAAGGAAGGTTCAGACACCTCCCCAAATGCCTGGGGCTGGGGGCAAAGTTAAGTTCCAGCAGCCCCAGGATTAAGGAGGACTCTGGCCACAGAGGGGCCTCGGGTACTAGTGTAGATGGTTTGCTGAGGTCTCTGAGCTGGAGGATCTCAAAGGTCTCTCAGTCAGAGGCTGGATCCTAACTGGGGAGGGTGATCAGTGCAAAGGAGAGAAGGGTCCACATAGGTAAGACCAAGCTGGGGCCTTCAGCCTGTACCTCCTTAATTGGAAGAGTCCCCTGGGTCTCAGTCCAGGTGAGCCCCCACAACCACAGGACTTTGAGTTCAAGAAGGGGCCCTGCAAGACCACTTCATTCTCTGAGCAGTAGGTCTGACTTGGCTGAGGAGACCCCTCCCTTCTTCCCCAGACACACACACACACACACACACACACACACACACAAGCCCAGCCAACATTTTGTTTGTTTTTTAAAGTAATTAGGAAAGGAGTAAAGAGACTGGATGTAGCAAGTCTGGGCTAGGCAGGGGGAACATTGCCCAAGGTTTCCACCTCTCCAAAGTGGGGCAGAAGCTCCTGGGAGGTCCAGGGCGGGACCAAAGCCTCCTGCTACCCATCCCACCTCTCCCGCGAAGAACTGTCCCTCTCCCGAGGGGGCGCTACGTGTGCAACCTGACCTCCCTCCACCCCAGTATTTCTTCCCAGGGAATGCATCATCAGGTAACCTCTCCCTGCAAGCCCCTATTTTAAAAGGAGTTTGGTTTTGTTGTGCAGGCTTTCCTGCCTCTCTCAGCATATAGAGGTGTGGAAACGGATGGGCTGCTGAAGCAGGGCGGGCAGACTGAAACTGTTGCCGGGCCTCAACAGTTTCCCTGCCTAGAAATCGGCCTGAAGCTGATCTTTCTCTTCATAAAAGAAACAAGTAAGTCTGTTGGCTTTCTCCTCGCCCGCCAGCTTTTCTGCCCAAGCTCAGCGCTCCTCTGTGGGCTGTCTTTCAGCCAGTCTTTCTTTACTTCAGGTTCTTTGGTCTCTCTCACTAACTAGACCTCTTTGACGCTGAAAATAAATTGGGGGTGGGGCGTGGGTAGAATCCGAGGAGAGGAAATCCTCATCCACTCATCCTCTTTCTTACCAACAACTCCTTCTCTCCACACACACACACAGGCACACACACAGGCACACACACTTCAGCGACCTCCAGATGTTCCCGACCGTGCGGCCATCTGCTGAAATTGCTCTGGCGCTCAGGGGGAGGGGGCAGGGAGCAGGGATGCAGGAAGCTGGGAGTAAGGCCTGGTGGAGTGGGCTGGAGCTGCGCACTTTTGAGACGCTCCCTAGGGTGGGACCCTGGTTCGGGCAGGGGGTGGGGCTGAGAGAGCGACGGGCCAGACCGGCACTTTGGCGACACTCCCTGAGCCGCCCTGCCGCGGGCTCCAGCCGTCTTTGGGAGGGGGGCGCAGGGGAGGAGCGGGGAGCTGGGGACGGGCGGGGCCGGAGAGCCGGGGGCGGGGGCCGCGCGGCGAGAGAAAAGCGCCTGCCGGAGGGCCAACGCCGGCAGCCTAGGTGAGCGCGCCGAGGCGAGGCGGTAGCCGCGCGGCTTCCAGGTGGGTACGAGACCGAGGCGGGGCGGAGGCGCGATCGGGCGGCGGCAAGGTTTCTGAGCCCCGATCCCCGGCTCACCCGGCATCCGGCGGGCGGGCGGGCGGCAGCGGAGCGGGGCTGGGTCCCGCGGGGCCCCTCAACTTTTCCCGGACCGGCCGCCGGCCGCCGCGGCCCCGGGAACCGGGACCGAGGGGAGGGGGCTTCCCGGAGACAAAGGCTCTGCCCGGGGACCGTGGGCGTGGGCCGGAGCCCCTGGGGTCTTTGTGCGGACACGTGCATCTCGGTTGTGTGGCTTTGTGGGTTTGGGCTCCGGGACGTGCTTCTGCCTGCGCCTTTGTGTGTCCGCGGCTGCTCTGCGCCCGTGTCCGCGCCACCGGGGTAGCGCGTGGGTGTAGGTGGGCACCGCCGCGTGTCCGCGTCTGTGGACCGCGCTGTCGACGTGTCTGGGTGGGTGACGCGGGAGCGGGTGCGCGGGGAGCCGGACGCCGCCCCAGCTCCGCGCTCCTCCTCGGTCCACCCGCCCCCGCCCAGTTGGCTTCAAACTTTTTTCTGGGTTCCTCGGGCCACAGCCTGCGTCTTCCCGTGGCCGCCACCCCCCGAATGGTAGCGGGGCTGGGGGCTCCTGACAAGCCCTCGTGCTCACACCTCCAAAGATCCTCTGGGCTGCGAGGACATGGGAGAGGGTTGTTGGGTTGGGGATCGGCGGCGTCTGGGGACTGGCCTCGGCCTGGACAGGGCGGAGCGAGCCGGACACCCGTGCGGGACTCCGCGGGGAGGAGGGAGGAAAGCAGCCTGAGAGGAGAGTGAGTGTGATCGAGAGAGACTTCTCCTTAGTCCACAAACCCGCTCCAGCCCACGTCTCCGCCTGGAGCTCCCGCTGATCTGCAGCCCGCCCCGGGTGAGGGGACCAGCCCTCCCGTCTGATCCGGTAGGTGGGAATCCACAGTCCTTCTGGCCCCAGGCCGGCTCGCCGCCTTGCCTCGCAGGACCCCAGTTGGGTTCTGGGGAAGAGGGAACAGAACAAACTCTGTTTTCCAGTGGGACAGTTAGTGGCCCCCTGTAGGCACCAGGCTCCCTAGGATGCTGCACCGCCTCGCTAAGTCGGTCTCCAGTCCAGAGCAACGTGCTGTCCGGGTAACCAGCACTGTCGGGTAACCTGCGCTGCGCGGATAACCAGCGCTGCCCATTCATACTCGGTCTGTCTCAAACTTCTAGTTGTGCCGTGCCCCTGGGATAAATCTAGACTTGTAGAGCCCAGGTCCTGGCCAGAGAGGCTGGGGGCTCAGTCCCAACAGGCTTTTCATCCCGTGTGGCACAGATAACCCTAACACCTCCCCAACCCAAATAGTGTGTAGTGAGGAACTTCACCCAATGCTACAGACCAGAGGGAGGGTGCTGGCCACTGCGCTGGGAAGGAGGGGATGCTGGGAAGGAGGGGATGCGGGCACTTTCTCTATGTCTGTGGGTCTTAGTCCCCCTTCTGGAAGGGGCGATAGGGACAGCCTCTTTCCCTCCTTGTTTTCTGGCTGACTGCCTGAGGTCCCAGAACCTGGAAATGCTTTGATGTGTAACATACACCTCCTTTCTGACTTGACCAGTTCCAGCGCACAAACTGCTCCCCGGGAAGGGGAGACTGGAATGCAATTCATGGCTTCCACCTTTCTCCACTGGGTCAAAAGTAAAAACAGAGGACTCAAAAATGGAGGGAAACGAAGGCACTGACAGTTTTTTTAACCTTATCTTTTAAATGACAGCTTATGGGTGGGCAGAGATAGGATCATTTTTCTTCTTAATTTGAACTCCTGGTACAATACATCGGTGGTGCATTTAAGAGTTCACTCATCCTGCTGGGCATGGTGGTGGTTCACACCCCTGTGATCTCAGCTGTTCCCCAGGACTGAGGGTAAAAAAAGTTCGTATCATTTCTTAGGGCTCTGCAGCTGAGGATATTTTCTAAGGAGGGCTGGGCCCACTGTGGAAGTCTCCTGCCAAAGCAATTTTAAAGACAGGCTCTGTGGGTGAGGAGTTCAACAGGGCAGATGCCTCTGCTCATTTGCTCAGTGTTTTTTTGTTTGTTTGTTTTTTGGTACTAGGGATGAAATCCAGAGACTGGGCGTGGTGGCACACGCCTGTAATCCCAGCACTTGGGAAGCTGAAGCAGGAGGATTGTTGGGAGTTCAAGACCAGCCTGGGCTACAAAGTGAGTTCAAGGCTAGCCTGAACTGCGTAGTGAGACCCTGTCTCAAAAAGGCAAACAAACAAAAAAATCAATCCAGGGCCTCACACATGCTGGGCAAGCAGTCTACCACCAAGCTGCACCCAAGCCTTTTTAAAAAAATTTTTTTTATATAGTATTAAGTTTCCCAGGCTAACCTCAAACTTGTAATCCTCCTACCTCAGTCTCATGGGTAGCTGGAACTAGAAGTAGCTGGGGTTACACCTGGCTGCTCAGGGTTTTGAAGTCAGTGAATGCACAGGGGAAGGCAGGAAGGGGTGCTTAGAGAGGGAACAGCATGTGCAGGACTCCATGTGCTCTGAAAACAGCACAGAGGTCAGTACTTTCGACTGTCAGATGTAAGGTCCTGGGCTGGGGAATTGGAGTTGAACTGGAGACTGGGTGGGAAGGCAGAGGCCAAATTACTGAGGATGACTATGAGCTGAGATTTGAACCTTGGGCACTAGAGTTCTGTAGGAAGGTCTATAGGCACAATTGGCTAGGACTGGCACTTGCACAAAACTCTGTAGCTTGTGGGTGCTGCTGGAGGCTGAGACCAATCTAAAGGCAACATTCTAGAGGCAGAAGGTCCATTTTTTTCCTCCCAGTGCATTGCTTCCTATCTCTGTGACCTGGGACAGTTCACCGGTCTGATTCTCAGCCTCCTCATCCTTCAGAGGAGGGCACTAATTCCTGCTGTGAAATCTGTTGTATACATTGAATAGAATAAAGACTCACATGTGCTAATAAGATGAGGTTTGTAGCGTGCATTACAGTGCACAGACATCTGCTGGGTCATACGAGAGAAGTGCCTGTGTTCAAATCCCAGCTCATAGTGATCCTCAGCGTTCAGTTGAACTCCAGTTCTACGTGAGTCTAAATCTGATTATAGTGCTTGGCAAAGCCCTAAGTATTTTGAAAGCATCCCCAAGTGGAAGGAAGTTTGCTTCCCTGACATTTCATTCATCTGGTTTTCCCCCTTCACATGGCCAGGCCTCATGTGGCAGTGGAGCTGGACATAGATTTTTGTTTTGTTTTGTTTTTTTGTTTTTTCCGGTACCAGGGATTGAACTCATGACCTTGCGCTTGCTGGGCAGGCGCTGTGTGGCTGAGCTAAATCCCCAGCCCCTGGACACAGATTTTTATACACAGTTGTAGACCAGAAGGCGTGTGAGCCCGTTTGGAAGAGGTGACACCTGGTGAATGAGGCAGATTAGACTGGAAAGGCCTCACAGAGGAGGCAGCTTTTGAATCAAGCAAGTAAGAGTTTGCAGTAGGATCGCTTGTTGTCACTGTCAGAAGGAACAGCCAGTGCAAAGGCAGGAGGTCCTAGGGGAGTGACGGGCCTCTAGCTAGAAAGCTGTCTTTGCCAAGTGGGTTTTAAACAGAGTGCAGCCTGCACTCTGGTGCCCAGCATGGCTGTCATTGGAGGCAGGGACCTGGGCTAGGCTCTTGCAGTAGGCCTCCTGGCCCGGCCTGAGCAAGGTGAGGGTGTGCCCAGCCTGGGCGTGGGGGAGGAGGAAGATAATGACCTACCCACCCAACGGTGGCTGCTGACTTGGCACCAAGTCTTCATTCTGTCACAGGCAACACAACTGCTTCAACCTGCGGTGGCCTCTGATTATTCCAACTCCCCCTTACCAGTTCCCTAGTAGAGCCTGGTAGGGGCCCTGGGTGGTGCCCTGAGACAGAATCCAAGGCCTCAGGAAATATATTTCGGGTTCTTCTCCATCCTCTGTCCCTGTCTTGCCTAAGCATCTGCTGGTGTTGAAGCTCTTTGTCTTCCCCGGCTTCTGCAGTCACCCATTAGAGGGCGGGAATCAACATGCCTCGAGCACCCATCGGTGCCACCTGGGCTGAGTCTTCATGTTCCTTCAGTAATCCTCTCACAGCGGCCCACTGGCACCGTACGGGGTCTCTCACCATGGTACAGGTGAACCCTTAAGCGCCATACTCGAGCGAGGAGACAGTAGGTAAAGGCTTGCAGATGAGCCCAGTCTGTCGAGTTGCAAAGCTTTGCCCATGTGCACACGTGCTGGCTCACATCTATAGGAAGTTGAACATTTTCAGGAAGAAGACATATTGGAAGGAGAAAGCAGCACCAGGATCGCTCCTGCCCGCAACGAGGGTGCTGGACTTTAGGCCTTACCTAAGTACAGCAGCGCCATCTGACACGATCTTGCAGGATGACTGAAGAGGTGATAGTTGAGGCAATAGTTGAGGGAAAGCTGGAGAGGTGCTTTTTGGTGATGGAGTCATTTTCTAGATATCTAGAACCTTTATAGAGGACCCGGTGTGTGCCAGGCCCAGTGCTCAGCTTCCTGGTCACAGGACAGAGAGGTAAACATGTAATTACAGTCTAACCTCATTAGCTCTAAGCTGCCATCCACACAGGCCCATTTGTAAACTGAGGCAGTGTGGTGTGTGGAGCCCTGGACTTGGGGCTGAGATGTCTGGGTCTGAGTCCTAGTTTCCCTGCTATTCGGGTGAATATCGCTCAGGTGCTTGCCTGTGATCTCTGGTCAGCACGGAGGTGAGGCAGAGAGGAGACAGCAGTGAAAGCGAGGTGAGCTGGTGGGCTTGCATAGAAGCGCGGCATTAGTGACTCTGTAGGGACAGCTGGCCCTAGCAGGCTTTGGCCCTGAAATTTTTTCAGCCTTGCATTTCCAAAGCTGATTAAGTAGATGGAGGGCAGGACCCTTGTGAAATTTCCACCTGGGGGTTTCACTGGTGTCAGCTCGCTCATGACTAAGGGAACAGCGAGAGGGGAGGGGAGGAGAAGCAGCTGGTTGAGGCAAAGGCCCAGCTCAGGTGGGTGCTGGGCCCTGGGCCAGGCCGCAACTTGGCCTCCTCCCCACCTGGTTCTTGTGCCAGGGGCACCCTGTTGAAGTTGTTGGGGCAGGGGGTGTTCTATGGGCCTGAGCAGCCATTGTGTGGCACTGGGGCAGGCACCTAGGGTGAGGAGGGTCCCAGCTGTAACCTGTCCCCTGCCCGCAGAGGAGGGAGGCTGGGGCCTTGCTGATAGCCATCAGCAACATGGCTGGAGAAGTTAGCGCAGCAGCTGTGGGCCTGCTAAGCACCCAGGACTGCACGGGGAAGGCTGTGAACAACACACTATCATTGCCTTCGGGAAGCCTCGTAAGATGCCACAATCATGGTCTACCGGGCATTAGGCACTTACCAAGGGGCAGTACTGAATCCGGAATGCTTCACATTCCCTCTCAGTCCTCCGCTCTTATCTCTGTTGTGGACACTGGGGCTCAGCTAGGTTGAGCCTTGCCTGGGGCTGGTAGTGGAGCTGTAGTCACATCAGAATCTGGGACCAGGCAGCCGCCCTTCATAGCTTTCTCACCAAGCCCTTGGCTCATCCAGCTCTCTGCTGCTGCCTGTCCCCGGCTGGCCCGCTGTGTCCCAGCTGTGGGAGGGTGCACAGGTGAAGAAGGCCAGGCTCTGCCCCAAGCTGCTCACTCTGCAAGTCTGAGACAGCAGAGAATTCGCCTCTGAAGGAGGCCTGCTGATGGCCTGGGGTGTGAGAGGCCAGGCGGAGGCTGGGAGTGAGCCGGCGTGGACAGAGCAACCTTTGTTCCACTGGCGGGGCCGGGCCAGGAGGGTAGATGCGCGCGGTGCCTGCAGCAGTGTGAGGTATCAGGCCCCTGGCTCCTGGGCCCTGGCCCTGCTGCTCCTTGGCATCACTGCCCCTTTCTGAATTTCAGTCACTGTTGATTTCCAAGAGGCCTCCAGCTCCCAAGCCCTGAGCTTCTCTGAGTTTGGGCAAGTGTGATTAAAGGCTGAGAGCTGCTCAGAGCCCATCGTCAAGCGGGTAGCTGTTGCCGCTCTGACTCCCAGGCAGCGTTCAAATCCAGATGGAGCGCATACACACAGGACCAGGCGAGCTGGAGAGCGCTTGTAGATACCTCTGGCTGGGAAGATTTGATTTCTGTAGGTAAGAGCGGAACCTGAGAGGGCAGTAGATGTGGCCAGAGCTGTTGGAGAAAGGTCTGTCAGCAGGGCCTGGGTGTCACCTGGGGAGAACTTCTGGAATCCTTAAGGCCATAGTTTACGCTTGTCCTCATGGGCCGGCAGCACTTTCCTCAGAATCAGTGTGAACTTGGCACTGTGGGCCCAAGAACGAATAGCTCCTGCCTTTGTGCCTATAGGACCTTAACAGTGTATCTCCCCAGTGGGGAAATGGGCGTGCTGGAGGCCGGGGCAGGTGCAGTTCTAAGCTCTTTTCCTCCTGCCCCTTTGTTCTGTAAGCTGGTCGATGAGTAGATTTATCTGCAGTTTAGGGTTTGGAAAAAAGGGGTGAGTCTTGGCTGAAAGGCCTTTCTCCCCTGCCTTCTTTTTGGTGGCCGCTGGTCTGTCTTTCCTGTCCTTCTGAGGGGAAAGGTCTGGTCTCAGGGTGAGCAATATTAATATTAATATTGCTGTACAGATGGCAATGCCAAGGCACACAGACATAAAGAAAACTGAAGGTCGCACAGATCCATGTGTCCTGGGTCCAAGGCTGGCATTAGTGATCTTGCCTCGAGTGGGTCTTTGTCCCCATTGCTGATCTAGAAGCCCGGAGAGGTCAAGTTCCGGGTGTCCTCAGTCCTACCCACATTCCAAAATAGCCTATCCCCGGACTTTGTATTTTGTAGGGGTCTAATAAATGCTTTTGTTAAACTTCAAAGTCCTGAGACTCCTGAGGCTTACAGAGGGGATGAAACTTGACCAATGTTGGGAACAGCGTGGGACAACAGGGACTAAGCAGGGCTTCTGACTGTCCTTTGGAACTTGTTACCTTGTCTCCAGGTCATCATCCTGGAAGGTGGTACAGACGGGTATCCTTGGGTTCCCGTCTGGGGGACTTCCTCTGGAGTATAGTCTGGGGGAGAGCCAGCGCGAAACTGTGCATCTGTGCATCTGTTAGTGTCCTGGCCTTGCTGGGCCTGTCCCCCAAGGGGGCTCTCATCCTGTTTCCCCGCGACTTGCCAATGTCATGCGGCTTAGCAAGTGTCTCTTCCGTTTTTTCTACTACAAGTGGGGATTATGCTTCTGGCCTCATTTGTCGACTGTGAGGACTGCGTAAGGGATGATATGTCAAGCACCAGTATATGGTGGGAACTGGCTCTTGTTACTGTGGAGTGCAAGTGCCCAGCTCTGGGCCCAAGCCTGACATGGAGTACTAGTCCTAGGAGCATTCACCAGCCTTGTTATGGGAGGGGGTGGTAACCTCAGCCACACGCCTGCCCCCTTGCATCAGGTGTTATGACTATTGCCTGAGTTCCGGGTATGCCTGGGGAAGACTTCTGTGTGGGTGTGCAGTCCTTCATAGTCCACAGTGCGTTTCTGTGGGTTATCAACCGCTGCGAGGTGCACAGGTTAGGCTTTGCTGCCCTGTGGACTGAGGACGAAGCTGGAGGGGTAGTGTTGGGGTTGGGTTTGGGCTGCTGGTTACATAAGCAGGAGCTCATGAGAAAACCGCTTGGCCTTTCATGGGCACATTGTATAATCACCTCTGGGAAACCAAATGGTAATCTCAGGCCCCTCCGTGGTGTTTGTTTAAACCCCAGGAAGGGTGGGTATGAGCAGATCGGCTTAGCAGGGAGGCAGGGCCGATGGTGGTAATGAACTCTGCGGCGAGGCGTCACCCAGGGGAACAAAGGGGGCCTGAAGCAACTTAATATTTTCCTTTTGCTCCAGACATTGGAACACTCTGTCCTTCCTCAGTTGGGACCAAGCCCAGGATGCACCTGGGCTGGGTTTAATCCTCAAATTGGCCTCTAGAAAAGAAAAGGGTGGAAAAGGAGGGGCCTGTTTGGGGGGGTCAGGGGAACCTCGTCGTCCCAGGCCCTGGGCAGAGCCAGAGTACAGATCAAGTGGCTGCACCTTTAAAGTTTCATGCGGGGCCTGTAATGCTATCCAGCTGCGCCCTCCCTACCCTTCCACCCCCAGTCTAAAAGGTGGGCGGTTCCTGACCCACTCCCCCCACCCACCTCCACTCCCTTCCCTGAAGGCGAGTGGGAAGGAGGAGATAGGCAAGAGGACAGGACCAGCCACATGAAGACCTGTTGCCCAACACCCAGCTGAGTGGCCGCTGTCTTTTGCTGTGCTGCCATCCGGCTCTCAGGCTAGCGCCCCTGAGCCCTGCCCCGGGCACCACAGTGAGCATTAGCACAGACTCTGAGTCTGGCCGGTGCAGGGGTGCAGGATCATTAGATGTGACGAGATGCACGTAATTCCTGGCATACATGGCCGCTACGGTTGCAGTTATACAGAGGGAAACTGAGGCCTGGAGAGGGGAAGTAGCTTGCACTGTGACAAATGTCTGTGGGAAAAGCCCCTTTGGGATTCTGCCTCTCCACCGGTTCACCTCCAGGCCTGTTGGAGGCAGCACACTTAAATGGAAGAATTGGAATTGGAGCTGGACAGACCTAGGATCTAATCCCACCCTGCTCCTATTAGTTCGGGGTCCTCTCTGAATTTCTGTTCTTCACCTGTTTAATGGGGGAACTGGACCACCTTCCTGCCCAAGGTTAATGGAAGGCTCACAGAGATGTGGATTCTGCCAACTGGTGGCAGTACAGGGGGCAGGGGCTTGGGATGGCCGTTCCCCAAGCCCAGCTGGGAATCTAGACACAGGGCCCCCAACTGGAAGGAATACCCGGCCTCAGGAGGACTGAGCAAGAGGCTGGGGTGAGCTGGGGGCTGCCATTGCAGGGGGAGCAGTGGCACCTTGGTCTTGGAGGTGGGAATGAGGGCTCAGCCTATACCTGGATGTGAGGGCATGCTTCCTGTGTCTGTACCCTATTGAGCGCCACAACACTTAGCTGAGTGGCCGTGGCTGTTTCTTAACACCTCAAAGGCTCTGCTGTTCCCGCTTGGTGAAATGGAGATTTCTGCCTTGGGTGGTTTCAGGGGTCAGTGAGACGGTGGCAGGAGGCAGCTGGCACAGTACCCAGTACATGCCCAACTGGGGTGAATGGAGCACCCTAACTCTAGCTCTACACTGTAAGCGCTACCTTGACAGGGACTAGGTCCACACCATTCCATGGGCCCTATGCCATCTGAGGTGGAGATGCAGGCTTCAAACTGCCCTGAAGCCCTGGGTCACAGGCACGAAAGGCTTCGGGGCCCTGCATTTAAGCCAGAGCAGGCCCTCTTGCATCTGCCGCTCTTGTTTATGAAGTAAACTGCTGCTTCCTGCTGAAAACCCACCAACCTGGCCAAACCCCTTTCCATACCGATGGGAAAACAGGCCAGAGGGGAACGTGCAGTAGGGATTATATTGACTGCTCCAGAAAGGTATTCCAGGAGGGTGAGAGCTGTGTCCCCCGCTCATGTCTCCAGGGGCGGGGTAGAAGCTTTCCGGTGTGTCCCTCCCTCACCTGTGTACATGGCTCTCTCTCCAGGCCCCACCATGCTGTGGACCCTGCTGCTGCTCCCACTGCTCTTGCTGGTCGTGAGTGGAACGCAGACAACCCAGCCATGCTTCCCTGGTTGCCAGTGTGAAGTGGAGACCTTTGGCCTCTTTGACAGCTTCAGCCTGACCCGAGTGGACTGCAGCGGCCTGGGCCCCCACATTGTGCCTGTGCCCATCCCTCTGGACACAGCCCATCTTGATTTGTCCTCCAACCGCCTGGAGAGAGTGAACGAGTCAGTGTTGGCAGGGCCCGGCTACACTACATTGGCTGGCCTGGATCTCAGCCGCAACCTACTCACCAGCATCTCACCCACCGCCTTCTCCCGGCTTCGCTACCTGGAGTCTCTGGACCTAAGTCACAACGGCCTGGCAGCCCTACCAGCTGAGAGCTTCACCAGCTCCCCACTGAGTGACGTGAACCTCAGCCACAACCGGCTCCAGGAGGTCTCTGTGTCTGCCTTCACCACCCACAGCCAGGCCCGGGCGCTGCATGTGGACCTCTCCCATAACCTCATTCACCGTCTGGTCCCCCAGCCTGCAGGGGCCGGCCTGCCCGCACCCGCCATTCAGAGTCTGAACTTGGCCTGGAACCGGCTTCGTGCTGTGCCTGATCTTCGAGATCTGCCCCTACGCTACCTGAGCCTGGATGGGAACCCCCTAGCGACCGTTGGTCGAGGTGCCTTCAAGGGGCTGGCAGGCCTTACACACCTGTCACTGGCCAGCCTACAGGGTGTCCCCCAGCTGGCACCACATGGCTTCTCTGAGTTGCCTGGCTTGCAAGTCCTGGACCTGTCGGGCAACCCCAAGCTCAAGTGGGCAGGAACTGAGGTGTTCTCGGGCCTGGGCTCATTGCAGGAGCTGGACCTGTCAGGCACGGGACTGGTGCCCCTGCCCGAGGTGCTGTTGCATCACCTCCCGGCACTGCAGAGCGTCAGCGTGGGCCAGGGCACTCGGTGCCGGCGCCTGGTGCGGGAGGGCGCCTATCCTCGGCAGCCCGGCTCCAGCCCCAGGGTGGCCCTGCACTGTGGAGACACCCAGGAATCTGTTGCCAGGGGCCCAGACATTTTGTGACGAATGATATGGCCCGGGGCTACATGACAGACTGCTGCCCTGGGCTTGCTCAGGTCCCACATAACTTATATTTTAATGTGCCAATGCCAGTGGGGAGTCTGTAGGCCTACGTGATGGCGTCCCCATGGAGCCATGGGCCTACCAAGGGCCGTATGTCTGGGCCAACACCCTTGTCCCCATTTCCCCTACACACCGTGAGCAGAGGGACATCGACTCTGGTCCGTGCCTGCTGCCCTTCCTCACTTGTCCCTCAAGTGCCTTCCCTCTCGCCTGGGCTGACCTGACCCTCGGCAGGAGGAGGGTGGGTGGGAGCCGCCACTGCAGCGCAGACTCAGGTCCATGGGGCTTGGCCCACGGTCCAGTCTCTTAGGGACAGGAGTCCCTTTTACAACTTATTCCTTCTTTGTTTTGGAACCCTAGTTAGAACTTTAACTATTAAAATGACTAAAGAGAAAACTAAGTCCACCCTCCCTATGGGACAGATGGGAAAATGAGGCCTGGAGAAGGAAACTCATCTGAGGTCCCCCTGGCTGGAAGCTTGACTAGAACCCAGCCCCCTGCCTCCTCCCGGGGCCCTCTGCACTTCCTGTCTTTTCTAATCGTCCCTTTCCTGGGCCTCCCCTCGCTGTTGCTGCTTTTTCCGTGTCATCTCAGCAGCAGGAGCAGAGCAGATACGGCCTCAGAGGTGGGCGCGGGGCCCGCTGACCTGCTGCATGGCATGAACCCTTTGGGAGCCTCGGAGAGCTTGGGGCATGGCAGTCCCAGGCCTGCTCCTTTCTTCTCTGGGGTGGTCTCCAAGGATCAAGACTGGAAAGATGCCTGTTTCCCTGAGCTGCTCCCTGCCAGAGTGGGTGCCATGCTGGGACCCCATCCAGTGGTGCCCTCAAGCCTGAGCCCAGCAGAGCCCTCGAGTTCCCCTCACCTTCCCATCGGCAGGGTCTGCCTCACCATTTATGCTCCACCCCAGGGTAACATCTCAGCTTCCCAACCCTGGGCTCTTTCCTTTGTCTTCATTTTATAAGAATTGTTGCCTTTTAAATGAACTGTTGCTTTCACCCCACCCTGCTACCTCTGCTGGCAGGGGATGGAAACATGTCATTTATAAAACAGGAAGAGTTGCGTTTGTTCACTTTTATAATACTGTGTTCTGGACATGTGTTGGTCTTGGGTGGGAGCCAGCCATCAGTGGCTCTGGGCATCGGCTGGTCTCACAGACACACCCCCAGGCAGTGAGAGCTCTTTCTCCACCAGCCCAACCCAGCACCTGATTGGTCCATGGTTCAATATGCACTATAAAGACTTTTTTCCATCATTCAAGCAGCATCTGCTGACAGTGCCTCTACTGGGCTTTGTCCCACAAGGATGAATTAGGTCAGGGCTTGGGCACATTGTTTGCCCTGAGAAGTCCAGTCATCTCCAGGATGGAGTAAGGTGATGTGAAGGAGGGAGTTGGTCAGGTGTGTTGGACTTTTGCTGCAGCCGGCACACAGTCCACCTTCCTCAATCTCCTCCTGGTCACCACAGCTCCACCAGCTGGCTGTCTGCCATAGCCTTGAGCGCACAGCTGCCTTTGCCCGGCCATTACTGTGGGACCCTGGCCTTGCCCCCATCCCTGCCTCCTCAACTTCCTACCTACCTACCTACTGGGAGATTATTGAAGTCTCTCTTCCCTCCCCTGTCAGATGCAGTACTACAGTACTTCGTTCATGCTTGGTGTTCCCGCTGTTTTGGCCCCCTAACTCCTGTTTGCACCTTCAATGACAGGGAGCTCCCTTCCAGTTCACTTAGGTACCTTTGCTGCAGCAGGTCTTCTACCTGCCGAAGTGAGTCTACAGGACATCCATAACATCAGGCTGTTGCTGATACCAATGAGATGTGATCAAAATGTACAGCGACTGTTAACTTTTAAAATTTTATTACAGTAAAAGACACATTGCCAATCATTACCCTCAAAATACCCCCCCTCACTTTGAATGCTCTTGTCCCAGCATTCTTGCTACTTTCTGAAGCAGTTCTGGAAGTCCTCTTTTGTGAGTGTCTCTATGAGGTGTGATCAAAAATGCAGTGAATGCTGCTGCTTATAGTGTCATCCAACAGAAAGGCAGGCTCCTAAAAACATCTTCACCCCTCATTCACCTGATCTGGTACATGCTACTTCTGACTCTTCCATGAAGTCAAAATGGCTGTGGTGAAAGGTAAATGTTTTCAATCAATTCAGAACATTGAGACAGGCATGACAACACAACTAAAAACACAAAGAGGACTTATAGAACTGCTTCAGAAAAGGTAGGTATAGGATAAGTGTGCTTGAAGCAAGGGGAATATTTTGAGGGGGATTTATGGCAATAAATTGTACTGCAAGGATTTAAAAACAAATTTAAACGTTCACTGTGTTTGTAGATCACACCGAGGACTCTGCCTGACCTTGGGTGGGGTGGCAAGATAAATCTTCCTGGGTCCCCTGTCTGCGGTAGGGGGCTCTCCGTGCTGGTGTGGGAGAGGGAGGGCCACCCAGAAGGCCTCTGGCTATAAGAGCAGCGCGGCAGTGGCGGTCCTGTGGAGCATCCACGTGACTGGGGAGGAGTGGACCAAGGTGAGAGGCTGGCACTTGGGAGACATCTTGTCTGGTCTCCCTGCACCAACCGGAGTGCTGGACCCGGGTGGCAGCTCCACCCCACGGACCTCAAAGAGTTGAATTGCCAGGGACAGGGTCAGAGGGAGACCCCAGGCCTCACAGTTCAAAGTGTCCCCAAAGGTGGGGAAGAGGGCATAGCCGCGTTGGTCAGCGTCCTCCCCGGGCCTCCCACGTTCCGTGGGACGACAGGTTTCAGAGGCGGTGGTGCGGGAGAGATCAGGGGACTTCGCCCAAAGTGCCCGGGTCCTCCCTGAAGCTGCGGTTGAGGACGAGGAAGTCCTCGAGGGCCATGGACAACAACTGAAAGATAACAAGGCACAAGGAAGACTGCAGTGGAAGGAGGGACTTGTGCAACTTCTGTCTGCAAACGGGGCAGGGGTGAAGCGCTCAGGAGAGGGAGGGCGTGGACGTCACTGCACTGTGGGTTCATCCTGACGGGGTATCACAGCCCCGCTGCCCTCGCAGCTGTGGGCTCCTGCCTCAGGCACCCAACTTCCCCGAGGTTCCTCCCAGTGCCAGTGCAGAGGCCCTTGGCCTGCAGCGCCACCGCGTGGTCACACAGGGCCAGACACCCCGCGGATAAAGGCCCCCGGAGCAGAGCACAGTCCAGACAGCTGGAGGCAAAGAGCAACCCCGTGGTTTTCCAGTCTCTCCTCCCCTGCAGCTCGACCACGCCCCTCCGGCCTCGCCCCTCCAGGAACCCTGGCACCAGGCCCAGGACTTTAGAATCTTCAGGACTTGCGCTGGTTCAGGCAAATATTTCTTTTGAAGTCAGAGGAGGATTAAAATCTTGAGCCCATCACAAACCAGTTTTGTGAATTTGGCTAAATCTTTTTACTTCTCTGATCCTGTGAAATGGAGATGCAAACGTCTCCATCCACAGGAAGGGGAAATGAAGTAACATTTGCAAATAAATTAAGTATGTGCCTGGCACATAATAGATGCCTCAGAAGGGCCCTTTCTGTCCTCACAACTGCACCAACTATTTCTGTTCTCTTTTTTGGTCACGGTACAGTTGAGGAAATTGGCCTGCTACAGGCCTCCTCTGTCAGAGGGCAATTCCCGCTGCCTCGCCCGCCCGATTTCAGAGAGGTTAGGGTGCTTTGATAGGCCAAAAAGCATGGAGATTTCCTGTTTCTCTTGCAGCTAAATTCGGGATGTTACACAGCTCTAAATATCTCCTGTCAGCCCATAGCTTCTAGATCCTAGAGCAGAGAAAACCTGAAGTCAGTTAGAGTCCTTTCCCTCCTGGGCCCCTTTTTAACAGTGGGGCCCAGAGGAAACCAGCCCTGGGCACCATGGCAGGTGGCCAGGGTTCTGTGCTTGAGAATAAATCCTGTGTAAAATAAACATGTAGGGTCTCCTCTTAAAAGATTATGAAGAACTTCAAGTTGACAAGATCAGAATATGAAAGCAAGTATGAGATCCTTCTGAGGTCCCACTGTCTCTGAAGGCAGCCTGCTGGGCTTTGGTTATCTCATTCCAGGGCAGTACTGGTGGGGATGGCAGAAGATCTGTGTGTAAACCAGTCCTTCTGGAATTGAAGAGCAGATTAGAGTCTTCCAAGTGCAGTAACCTCCCTGTGCCCAAATTGCCATGGCAGAGGTCATCATAGGCTAATGTGGCCTTCCTGTCCATGCTTTGCCTTCCTTGTTCCTAATGTTGACTGTGGGCAAATGTCCGCTGGTGTCTCACGTTTATCCTGTCGATGACAGCTTCCTCCGGTGGTCAGTCTCAACCAAGGGAAATGCTCCGCAGTGACACCGTCCACTGGAGAACACCGCCCAGTGTCCGAGGTAGTGAACTGCCATTAAAGGTGCGCTGTGCATCAATACATAATGTCAGTCTGTAGCTCAGCTTCCAGCAACAGCAAATATCCATGCACTTAGGTCATGCCCTGCCTGGATTCTTCTCTGTTGTTTTCTATATTTTATTTATTTGAGCACTAGTGTTTGTAGTTATGGAGATTAGTGTGTTTGTTGAGCTTGGAGGGAAATTCTTCCTGTGTTTATTCTTTAATTCCCAAAGCTATTTGTCATTTTTGTCCCACGCTCATTAGTCAAAATGTTGTGCATTACGAATACAGAAATACGACAGTGTTTCACTATATTGGCCAGGCTGGCCTTGAGCTTATGGCTATCCTTCTACCTCAGTTTGTGATACAATATATATATAGTATTGAACCCAGGGGCATTTTATCACTGAGTTATAGCCCCAGCCCTTTAATTGTTTTATTTTGAGACAGGATCTAAGTTACCTAGTGTGGCCTCAAACTTATGATCCTCCTGCCTCAGCCTCCTAAGTAGCTGAGTTTACAAGTGCGCACCACCACGTCCAGCCATTTGTGTTTCTTGTTACAAGCACAACATGTATATGTAACACGTGCATGAAATACACACATTATATACCTGATGCAGGAGGACACAGAAGAAGAGGAAATGACTGGAGAACAAATGCCTCAGCCTAGGAACAGTTTTCTAATTGGTTGATTCCTAGAAGGAGCAACTTGCCCAAAGTTAAATAATAAATTTAGGTGTCATCCTTCTGCTGGGCTGCAGAAGGACAAAGAGCCCTCCTTCGGGCTGAAAACAGCTGGGTTCTCCCAGGAGGGCAAGGCGCTGATTCAGGGAACTTGGTCATGGCCCCACCCTGCAGCGAGCTGCCTGGGCTCAGAACCCGCCTCTGCCACTCACAGCTGAGTGCCAGGGAAACCATCCAGCCGCCTGTTGGCCTCAGTCCCCCAGGTGAGAGGTGGCCCGGGGGTGGGGAGCGCCCTCCTGGCAGCCGTGGGGATGAGTCAGTGGACACACAGCACTGAGAAAGGCACTTCGAGTTTGGCATAGCATCTGTCTTAAGGTTGAAATTTGGGGGTCACCTTTATAAGCCTGCTGTGGCTCCCAATACTTTCAGGCAGAGTTTCTTCCCAGGGGAGACACTGTGGAAGTCGCAATGCTGAGGAATTTGTCGGAAAAGAGGTTCTGCCCTCTGCCCCAGTACATTTCCAAACCAGCAGGTCAGGCGGCATCTTTCTGGCCTGAGGCTCTTAAAGATACAGTACCTCGGAAAAGCCTTCAGATGTCTTTCCTGAGGTGTGGGTGCCAGATCGCAGGTAGAATTACTGAGCTGCTGGGATCTGAGAGATGCGGAGACCCGTCCGCCCCATCTACCCTTGCTCTTGGCTGTGGCTGTCTGACGTTCCCCCTAGACGGACAGGGCCCAGGGTGCCAGGAGTGAGACTGAAGGACGAGGATGAGGTGCTGGGTTGGGTTTGCCAGTAGAGAATTTGCTAAGTCACGGGGAGCAATGGTGTCCGAGCACTTTCGCAAAGTGCATAACGCTGTCAGAAACGTTTCTAAGGTAATATGTGGACGTGACAGTTGTGAAGACTGAGGGGCTAGAGACAAGACCAGGAGGCACGTAGGAAGGGCGTGGAAGGAGGGTCTTATCTCTGTGCAGACCAGCGGGCCACCCTTTCAAACTCCGTCCCGTGAACCACCCTG